AACAGTACTTTAAGAAACATACCGGCTTTATAGATAATTCGCCTCTGAGCATAACATCAGTTGCAATGCAAAAAAATGAGTTACATATAATAGCAACAAATAAGAATGGTGCAATCCAAACTACAAGTATGGAAGCCTCAGAAATGTCTTGTGGAAAATTTATAAGAGACAATATACTGGTTTCAACTCTCACTGGAGGTCAGCTGCTACAATTCCCTATATACAAATGATTGAGTCATGAAATGTAGCTTTTATGTATTATCTGAGGAAGAGAATCAGCTAGTTATTGGATTACAAAAGCTCTTCAATCTCTAAATAGACTTTTCCCTTGGGGTCCCTTAAGATTCTGCAATATTTTCAGTTGTAACTTGTTATCTGTGATTACCTGAAATAAGACATGTTTTTAAAAACTTATTTTCCCCTTCTTACTAATGACACCTGCTACAATGAGATTTTAAGGCCTTTTATAAATATATATATAAAGCCAAAATTCTAATAAGTTACATGAGGCTCCAAATTCTATTAAACAAAAAAAGATTAACTCAAAGAAAAATCAATTCAGTGTCTAACCTGGCCACATCAATGGACACTGAGAATAAACTCCCAGGTTTACTTTGAGGCAAGTGCTGTTTACTATTAGACAATGAAACTTTTAACAACAGATCCTTAAACTATAGGAAAATGTCCCCAGGGCGCTAGCTTAGAAGGTTTAATTATTAGCTTAAAATAACTTGACTGTCAGCAAACAGGCTGTTAACCCAACCAGGGAAAAGAAGTCCCCAAATTCTGGACAAGGTTCTGTTTCTTTCAACCAGTGTCAGGCTGGAGCCAAAGCTTTCCACATACAAAAGCTGTAGCTTCAGTTTTCAGAGCTGAATTTGCTACCATTCTACCTGTAACTTTTGGTTAAGTCACTGTTTCACTCTTAACATCTAAACAAAGTAATGGCATACTTTTCAAAGAGATACTCAGTTGACAGACAATTCCAATAAACAATACATAATTTTTTCCCAAGAATGCTCTTTTAAGTCTCAATCATAAATTGTTCTTTCAGTCATGAAGAGAGAATAGTGAACAATCAACACAATATTTCTTACTTATTGGAAAAGAGGATCTTTCTTTCACTATGGAACAAAACTTAATTTTAAAACATGTGACCTAGATTGGTTCTCTCCGTTTGCCAGTGAGCTCTTTTGCTATTATGCTTGAAGCACTACTGCCACGTGGGGAAAAAAAGAACAAACGATTAACACATTCAATTGCATAAAATTAAGGACTGAAAACCACAAAAGAAGACAGCAGAGCATGTGTACATTTCACCAAATTCACATCCTTATCCAAAGAGCAAACTTGGGGATAATGTGAAAAATGAAAATGATTTCGGTTTATGACACATCATGGTTGTTTTAAATTAACTGTGAGAAAAGAGCAACGATAAAATACCTGGCAGAGCGGGCCCCCAGACTAAAGCCCATGTAGCCCTCTGCGGGCAGAGAATCATCGCCCAGTTCCTTAAGGTCTTGTGGCCCAAGATACTTGTCCGTGTCGCCTGTCATTGCATCTTCACCTGCGGATGCACAAAGCAAGCCCAAATCAGAAGCTTCCCTTTTGAAAATGTGTCTGTTGGGGAGAAACCTGTTCCTCCGGTCATTGGCCAATCACCCATTTCTCTCATGTTCATTTCCCCTCATCCCCCCCGGATAATATTTGAAACTGCCATTAGAAGGAAAAAGTATAGGTAGAGGTTAGTTCATCACTTCAATAGTGAATTTATTGTGACCACCTAGAGGGGTGGGATACAGAGGGCGGGAGGGAGACGCAAGAGGGAGGCGATATAGGGATATAAGTATATGTATAGCTGATCCACTTTGTTATACAGCAGAAACTAACACACCATTGTAAAGCAATTATACTCCAATAAAGATGTTAAAAAAAAAATAGTGAATTTAAGCAGCAGAAAGAGCTCCTGGCATTAGGTACCAATTTTAAACCATTTCTGTATCTCCTTCCTCCCTGCCTCAAGCCCCAGCTGACTAGAAAGGTTGATCTCTTCTGTCAGCTAGAGTTTTCCTGGCCCAACCATGATGAGGGCAGCTTGTTTGAATGGACCTGGATTGCAAAATAAGAGGCATCTCTTCATTACTGTTCTGCAAATTGTATGTGGGAAGGGAACCGACTTTATTTTAAATGTTCTTCTCACACCCAGGATTTCAATTTGGGGTTTATGTAAAAAACTAGCAAGTTATTTAATCTGAAACTACAACTGCTCAACTGGGGAACCTTGAAACACATCCATTTTGAACTGTTTCAAAATCTATCAAATTAACAACTCAGTCCAGCTGCCCCAGTGCTTGAACCCTGCTTGGAAAGCAGCTCTACCTTCAATAGAGATCAAATGGGGGCTTCAGTAGTTGTAAAGAAGGATGAAATAAATTGCTCTTGAACCACCTATACAAAGAGTTAATTGCCTAAAATACTTTTACTAGCTACACACGTACAACATGACCTCACACGGGAATAAACCACATTCCAGGGGTGACAGGGCAGGTTTTCCAGATGCCTTTTGCCCTCTGGGACATTTCCCATCCTTCTCAAAATGCAGCACGGGCTGTGGAAAAGTTCCTTTCACAAACAGGCAAACCCTATCTCCTTTTTCTGACTCTTGTTCTACTGGATACAAGCTTGGCTGGCCGAGCCAGATTTCAAAGGAGTACATGTTATGTTTTCTCAAAGGTAAGCGATTTCACCCACTCCAGCTCTATTTTCCAGTCCTTCATTCAGCACTGTTTATAATTTCCATTCATTTAAACTCGGGAAACCACAAGAGCTCAGCTTTTAAGCTACCAATCAAGTCTAAAAATCCAATAGCAACTACTGTTTTCGCCAGTGTAAAAACCAAACAGATCAACTTTCCATAGCTACCCGGCTACCCGGTACCAAGAGATTATTTTCAGTAACTATTTACAGCTGGGCTGCTTGCACACTCACTACATAGGAAACAAAAACAGCACACGCCAAGTACGACTTAAAGAAAGATCTTACTCTGTGGCAAAGCCATTTCCACCGGGCTGGGCTGATCAAATGTTTTCCTGATGTTTCCAGGAATCCCTGAAGCAGTGATTTGGGCTCTACCTCCAAATCAGCCCAAACCAGTCCCTGGGTTGGATCCACTGTCTTCACCACTTCCTCCAAGTTCCTCTCAGCATCTTCGTCTCCTCGCCAGCAACTGAAGAATTACACATCTTTTCCTGCCCATCAGTGTTCAAAGATTTTCAATATTTTAGATGGAAAAAAAAAAAAAACCAACCCCCAAATCTGGCTACATTTCATTGAGATCAAGATCCTTTTCGATCACTCCGCAGACATCCTTTTAAAACTCCTTCTGATTGGATTAAAAACTCCTCTGGCAAGCCTCTAGCAGGATCGAATGGTGACATAAATGCAAGCCCCTGAGTTATTTGTATGTTAATATGAGGACTGCTCCAGTGTAGACTTTCGGTAATTTGATACCGATGCCCGGTGCCTAACCGGGTAGCCGAGGCAGCCTGAAATCTAGGGAGGGCCGGCGAGTGAGCCACTGCATTTAATTAGGAGGCGACTCTTCTCCAACCTGAAGGAAGAAACGGCCAACCCAGGTAGAGAGGAAAAACAGGAGAAGAAAACAAAGACGCGGCCCAGGCAGGGAGTGGCAGAGAGCTCCAGGCAAACTTTAACTTTGTTCTCAGCTGGGAGCCGGGTTATTTATGGTCCCTGTCAGGTGGAAGGAGGGGAAAAAAAAAGAGAGAGAGGGAGGAAGGGAGGGAGGGAGGGCGGACCTGCCCTCGGGTTGAGGTTGGGAAACTGTGGGGCAGAGGGAAGCGGCCGGGAGCCTCAGAACTCTCCCAGAAGCCCTGGAGAACGAGCCCATCACCGCTGCTTTTGATCCAGAGCTGCAGGAAAGAAGGGAGACAAGCCGGGAAAACGGAGTGGATATTGTCTTAACTTCAGCACAAGCTCTTTCAATTCTCTGATGCGATTAAAGTCACTAACTGGTCCTCCCTCCTTGAGGGGTCCCTGGCGAGGGGGAGAGGAGGAGGAACCGGGGTTGGCTGGGGAGGTCTCGGCTGCGAGGGGCTGCAGGCGGCCAAGGAGGCGCTTCTGTCACTGCGCTGTTCCGCTGCTTCCCTCTCTCTGGGGCTCCTGGCCTCCCTTCCCAGCTGTTCCACCCTGTTTTTGTTGGCAGTGGAGGGAAAAGCTAGCCGGACTTCTGCATCCTCCATCTGGGTACACAGGAGAGGCAATTTCAATTGCTTTTTCTCAGAAGAGCTGGAGCGTCGGCCTAGAAAGGGGCAAGGGTTTGGACATGATCTTGAAGGAAGTGGTCTGCAGCACTTTTGCGTATATTGCATCTATCTCTTCGACTGTTACCTAAATATACAGAAATGTGAATCTGTAGCACTGAGGAGGTGGGGTACAGATTTGTGGTTCCTGGATCAATGCATAAATAATGACTCATCTAATATTCAGACGATACGACACCTGGTGCTTTAATTTGATCCGCCCGGCTATAATCAACATTGAAAATACCCAGAAAGTGAAGGGAAGCCATTTATACTGCCTGGTACATATGGAAAAATATTCCCCCCAATAATAATATAAACAAAAAGAATCATTTCCAACTCTTTAAAGAATGGAAGGGGAAGTCATGGGTAACATGGAGAAAATGTCTGAAGGTCAATCTGTTTTCCACAAGTGCACTTAAAATCCAAGCTACTGGGACTTCCCTGGCGTCCAGTGGTTAAGACTCCGCGCTTCCACTGCAGGGGGCACGGGTTTGATCCCTGGTCGGGGAACTAAGATCCCGCATGCCACATGGTCCGGCCAAAGAAAAGAAAAGAAAAGAAAAATCCGGGCTTCCCTGGTGACGCACTGGTTGAGAATCTGCCTGCTAATGCAGGGGACACCGGTTCGAGCCCTGGTCTGGGAGGATCCCACATGCCACGGAGCAACTTGGCCCGTGAGCCACAACTACTGAGCCTGCGCGTCTGGAGCCTGTGCTCCGCAACAAGAGAGGCCGCGACAGTGAGAGGCCCGCGCACAGCGATGAAGAGTGGCCCCCGCTTGCCACAACTAGAGAAAGCCCTCACACAGAAACAAAGACCCAACACAGCAAAAATGAATAAATTAATTAATAAACTCCTACCCCCAACATCTAAAAAAAGACAAAAAAACCACAGATGCGATGCCTCAATTAAATATATGAATGAAAAAAAAGAAAAGAAAAGAAAAATCCAAACTACTTAGCAAAGCCTGATTCAATGGTGCTCGCTCATTCAAGCTTCCTAACAAGACCTGCAAAGAAAGGTTCCTTCCTCATGACTTCTTGGCCAGCTTCTCTCCGGCCACTCCTACACACCCATCCTGCCCTTCTGTTACATATAATTCTTTCAGTCCCTAGAATTCCTGAAACTCTTTAGACTTTGAACCACTACATAGGGTGTACTCCCTTGATGGAATCTTTACCCCTCTTCTTCTCCTGAGTAGTTTCCCCAATCTTGGACTCTTTCTAGAACACCTCCCATCCTCCACTCACCATCCTAAGTTCGGTGTCCCTCATGTGGGCTTCCCTTATCAGAGTGTATTGGCGGGAAAAACACCTGCTTGGTCCCTCCCATGGAAGAGTGAGATGAGAACCCCAAAACCAGAACCCAGGTTTTCCTGGACCTGCCATATTGTAAGTGCCCCATCAGTATCTTTGGAATTCATGATTGCTTTTATTAAAGAGGTTGGTGGTTTCGCTTTTTTTCCCATCTACATGCCACAGCAACTTCGTATTCATTTGGCATGCCAAGCTTGACGACTGGTATACAGTAAAATTTCAATAAAATTAAGTTTCTATTCTTTCTCTACATATCCTTCTTAGACTTCAGAAATGGTCTCTACGAAACCAAAAGAAGCCCAGAGTTGGGATGGGGTTGGGAGGTGTTAATACATTTGGCCAAAGATTAAAGTAGTCTTATGACTATTAAGTAATAGTAATTAAGTAATTATGAATTTACCATTTTAGAATGATGAAAACATTTCTTACAAGGCACGGAATTTAGAGGTAAAGGCAATGGTCTTATTTTAATGCAATTTTGCATAGTAGGCGGTGCCTGGATTCAACTTCAAGCTTCATCACTTACTGATTAGGTGAACTCTGGGATACTGTTTCCTCTGAGTCATAGTTTCAACCTCTACCAAACTGGGATAACAACTCTGCCTCTATCCTAAGACCTCTTGGGGGGATTAAATGAAATAATGCACAAAGAAAGGGTTTAGTCAGCACTAACTGTTAGTAGTATTCAGTAACACAGCTTTCGTTAGTGTTCAAACATCTGAATGCATGAACTCATACAGTTAGCATTTAAAATGCTACTATTGATACTGCTTGGGGCAAAATCTAACCGTAGCACCAAGCCTCCCTGCTCTGCATTGCCTAACACAGGGCCAGGTTCATCATAGATACTCAACAAATACCTGTTGATTGAATGAATGGAGGAACAATATTAATACAACTAACTCTCATTTCAATAAACAAAATATTCTATAATTATCGTATAGTACGACACACTAATATACCAAAGATTAGAAAGGAATGAGATGAACTCTATTGAGTATCTTGTTAACTGCCTCTAATCCATTCTATAATCCCCAAATATTTTGATTAGTAACAGCTTCTGACCAACAGGTACAAATAATTATATTTGTAATATAACAAAAGTAATATTTCTATGAATGAACAACACTCATACAATATCAGATATATTTAGTTACAATATATGTATTACCAGAACCCACAAATTTTCACTTACTAAATACTCGTGTGGGTTTGTGTTTCCTAGAAGCGTTTGGTGCAGTGGCATAACCGTTGTGTTGAAGATAAATCTGACTATTTTCTAGCAAAGAAGGTGTGGTAGCTAGTGTTTAAAAATGCCCTCTCTACCCCATCCAATGAACCAACTCTCCTTGTATCCATGCCTGTGTACTGCCCTTGTTTAAATCTCAACTGGCTCAATCTTTGAACACTAAAATGCGGGGGAAGTGATGTTACGTGACTTTGGACTTTGAGTTCAAGGATACCTTGCAGTTTCTGCCTGAGTCTCTTTGGAGTACTTGTTCCAAAGGGGAAGTTAATCCCAAGGCAAGAAATTTGACGACCATGAGGCCACCTCGTGTAAAGGTGTAAAGAAAGTCAAGGTAGCCATGTGGAGAGAGATGCCAGTCAGCTCTCAGCTGTTCCAGCCATCCCGGCCGAGGTGACAGACCCTCGAACGATGACGTCACATTGAACGTCTGGCCATGTGACTCCCACCTTAGCTACCGTCTGACTGCAAACTCCTGAAGGCTGTCTAGAGCCCAGTTGAGCCCTGTTAACTCACACAACCACGGGAGACGATGATAATAAATTAAACCACTGAGCTCAGAGGTAATAAGTAGTGGGAACAGAGGGGAATGAAAAATAACAAGGTCCAAAGGTAAGGCAAAGTGGTCACAGACAGGATGCCTAATGCACCCCTAATCAATTAGAGTGAGCTCTGCAGTGCGTTCTACGATTAGTGTAGACAAAGTCTGGGGGAAGCACACGGGTGAGTGCCACCAGAGGAGGCCTCACCTATATGGAAGGGACTTTACACCTTTCAAAATTATGAGCACTGATGTTTTCACTAATCCATTTCTGACAATAAAACACCAGAGGCTGGAAAATGCTTAAAGAAAAACCCAGGGCTGCCCTGGTGGTGCAGTGGTTGGGAGTCCGCCTGCCGATGCAGGGGACACGGGTTCGTGCCCCGGTCCGGGAAGATCCCACATGCCGCAGAGCAGCTGGGCCCGTGAGCCATGGCCGCTGAGCCTGTGGGTCCGGAGCCTGTGCTCCGCAACGGGAGAGGCCACAACAGTGAGAGGCCCACGTACCGCAAAAAAAAAAAAAAAGAAAAACCCAAACACCCCAAATCTACCTTGATCTCACCATTCCCCAAATAATAAAAGCTGTTCAGAGGCATTTCACTTCAATTTCGCAGCTACCCCTTCCTCCCAGTCCTATGATGACTAGGTTCAGAGAACAGGTTTCCTGTACTACAGTCAATCCTCCAAAGATTCATACGCTCTGTCTACGAGGAAATAATACCAAATAGAATCAGGGACAAAGGAGAGAAAGAGAATATATTAAATGGTTATCAGGACTGTGGGTGGTCACGTAGCTGTGCCTCATTCCCTTTTAGAATTCAACTCACTGGTCCAGAATCAGAATCAGTACATGGGGGAATATACCTAACCCAACTTCCTTGCAATCTTTCATTATACCCGCTAATGATTTTTCATGGTGAATAAATGAAACAGTTCTTTTCTTATTATTTAAGTGTTTTCATGCCCTAGGAGTTCTTTTCTTCTCTTTCTTTTTTTTTTTTTTTTTTTTGCATGTAATTTTCTTCTATTCTTTTCCATCTTAAAACCACTACTGAGGAATACTTTTGTTGCTTTTCCAGCGGTTGAAAGTTGATTTCCCATCTGGCTGGAGACTAGAATCACAAAGAATATTCCTTAACGTAACTATATCAAATTATATTGTCAGAAACTTTGCTCAGAAGTGTTTAATCCCTCTGATGCAAAATGCAGAATCTCCCCAAGGAATGTACTTTGTAACATTATGAAGCTGAAAATAATGGTACAAAACACCTCCAAATGAAATGATAGAAAATCTCCAAATTACATGGGATTTTTAAAAAAGCTAGATTAAAAAGAATAGAGGAACACAGCCTCTATGCTCTAGTGATTGATTAGGAGTTGATTACTTCATAGAACTCAGTAAATAGCCTAACTGAGAAGCAGTTAATGATCAGAATTGAGAAGCCAAATTTACTGTCCTTGTTCTAAAAAAAGTGTGTTTTTTGATCATCACATAGCAAAGAGAGGAAATGTAAGCTACTGGGAAAATAAATCCTTTAGCCATTTCTAGTCTACGTTATAGAATAGTAGAATGAGATCACATCATTATAATCAACATCTATATTTATTGAGCATTTACTATGTTCTAGGCACTGTTTGGTGCTTTATAAGTATTATCTCAAGTAATTCTCACAACAACCTTATAGAATAGAATTGTTATCTCCATTTCAAGATAAAGAAAACCCAGTTCACAGTGGTAGAATAAACAGCTAAGATTACTTAGAACATGGGGAAAATTGGATTCAAAATTAGTTGGTTTGACTACAGAGCCCTACTTTTAACTACTGCCAAACTCTACGCTATTGAACAAATACAATAAGAAATCAGTAACCAAAATATCAGCTCCATGGAGGCAGGGGTTTTTGTCTTCTCCTTCCATATCCAGTGCCCAGAACAATGCCTGGCACATATTAGGTGCTCAATAAATGTGTGAGATGAAAGGTCAGTAATTGCTGTTGGAGAAAGGAACTCTATTACTGGAGCAAGAAGGAGGGAGACTTACTTTTCACCGTAAACTCTTGTACCTTGGGAATTTTATACCATGTGCATCTATCACCTATTCAAAAAATGAATAAAATTAACAAAATAAAACAAAATACAGGGACTGCAGATAAGTCATCTGTGTGTTCCATACACCAGAAAAGGTATTTTGACAAATGTCAGTCTGCCAGGTAGACATTAAGATGTGTATGTGCACCAGCAAGTATCCGGCAAAGAGGAAACGATACGTACGACATTTGACCTTACTTGTCTCTTTAAGACATGGAAGAGAAGAAATGAAATGAAACAAGGCAGGAAGAAGGGGATGCACAATATTAATGTGGTACTTCTGGTAGCTTCCCAGGGTTCTAAAGCAGTGGTTCCCAACCTGGAGGATGCATTAGAATCACCTGAAAACTTGCATTTCTGACAAGTTCCCAAGTGAATCCGATGTTGCTGGTCCAGGGACCACACTTTGAGAACCACTGGTCTCAAAGGTCCTTACAAATGACAGTGATCTAATGGCAGTACTGATTCTATAGCATTCAGTGTCTGTTTTCTAGTGGCTATTATGAGTATAATTAAAGTACCAGCTCAGCAAGTGAACTGAAGGAATGAGTGCAGTGTTTCTCAAATTTCAAGGGATGTATTTTATCAGCTGGGGACCTTGTGAAAATGCAGATGCTGATTCCACAGGTCTAGGGTAGGCCCTGGATTCTGCATGGGTAACAAGTCCCCAGGTGACCTGCTCTACTGTGTGACTACTTTGAGACGGTAGACAGTGGAGCGCTGGGCTAGGACCTATGTTAGGAGTAAAGCCAACTACTGCCTTTGAGGCATTTAGCCTCTAGTAAAGAAGCTGACACCAGGACACAAACCATGATACAAATACTGTACTCCTAATGCTGCTGGTTCCTACTGAGATCATGCCTTGTATGTGCTACACGCTGTGCTTGCTAACTGAGCACTTTACATGCACGTCTCGCTTAATCCGCAACCCTGGGAAGCAGGTACTAGTATTTCCAGTTTATAGATGAAGAAACAGATTCAGAGTTATTTGTCAAAACTAACACATCTGGTTAGCGGAGGAGCCTGGATTAGAACCCACGCAGTCGGGTTGCAGAGACCAGGCGCTTCCCCATCTCGCCACCAGGACAGAAGGTGTGTGCGTGGTTACAAAGTATTACAAGAACACAAAGGAAGAGGGCAGCACATGGGACTGTAGACGTGGCGGATGCTGAACGGAGAGTGTGTGAGTACAGGCAGGGAGAGAGGGGTGGAAACGGGAAGTTGGCCATCCCAGGCCACAGGATGCAGCCCAGAGGGACAGAACGGGAATGCTGGAGACCAGCGAGCAGCCGGCTTTACTGAAGTTACAGGCAACTGACTTGTAGGAAATGGGCTGGTTGGGTTGGATTTTTAGGGCGCTTGAAATTAGATTATAGACTAACCATTGCCATCCGAGTGACAGGCACCCCCCCCCCATGAGTGGGGGGCAATGCAATGACTTTGTCGACCCACATTGCTTTCGTTTTTGTTTTAACTGAAGACTTAAATACTCAAAGCGCTCTCTCTTCCTCTCGTGCTGTCCTGGCCTAATTCTAATCCTAGAGCAGGAAACAGGATACATAGACAGTCGTATCCATCTGATTAAGGAAAAGGAAGGACAGCCATTTTTTGAGCATCTACTGTACGCTGGTCACTGTTGTAAGTGCTTTATGTGTATATTATTTCTTTTCATCATCTCAGCAACTCCATGGTATTATTAACCCGTTTAGAGACAAATAAAGGCAAATAAGACTCAGCCTATTTTATTTTTTGGAAGGTTCAAATAAGGAACATAAAAATCCGGATAATTTTGAAGAGAAAATCTTTTCCATAAATTCAAAACTTTATGTCTAGCTCCCCTAATGTTTAGACAGTAAGTTTTCATCATGAAGAATCCAAATGACTCTATTTGCTCCTGTCTTTTCCCTCCATCTTCCGATATTTGCATTGTCAGAAGAGCAAGGAAGCAAGAGTAAGAGGGAGGGGCTTCCCTGGTGGCGCAGTGGTTGGGAGTCCGCCTGCCGATGCAGGGGACGCGGGTTCGTGCCCCGGTCCGGGAAGATCCCACATGCCGCGGAGCGGCTGGGCCCGTGAGCCATGGCCGCTGAGCCTGCGCGTCCGGAGCCTGTGCTCCACAACGGAAGAGGCCACAACAGTGAGAGGCCCGCGTAACGCAAAAAACAAACAAACAAAAAAAAAGAGGAAGAGGGAAGAGGAATATGATAGTATGAGGATGCTGACCCGCTCAAACTTTAGTTCCTTCTTTTCTTTTCTTTTTTTTTGGTTGCACCGCGTGGCTTGTGGGATCTTAGTTCCTGGACCAGGGACCGAACCCATGCCCCCTGCAGTGGAAGCACAGAGTCTTAACTACTGGACCGCCAGGGAATTCCCAAACTTTAGTTCTAAAAGTCTAATTCTAACCTAGAGTCACACAATAAATAAGGGAAAAGTTACTTAGATTCCAGATGCTCATGCATTTCACTTTTCGTTTTGCAGTTTGCAAGGACTCCTGTGCACATTCTGAGAGGCTGATAAAAGGAAGGAGAGGGCGTGTCGACAGTGGAGGGGCTATGCCACCCACTTCCCGAGGTCCCCGTGTGTGGCACAGGCACTTCTGGGTCAGGCTGGAGGACCAGTGAATGCTTGGGACTCCATTATCTTCTGGGATGGAAGGAGGCTCAGGGCGAGGCTGCCCAAGTCCAAGGTAGAGAATGCAGTGAGCTCTCTCTCCTGCCCCCTCCCCTCCCCAGCTGCCTCCTCCGTCAGGAAGGAGCAGATGCCGGGTCTTTTGCTTCAACCTTTTGTTTTCCAGAATCTTCTGGCAGCAGTGGTTGTCCTTTCAAAACAGAAAGTAAGTTCTAGAATATACTGTTTTCTTGCTTTCCTTCTCAAAAGATGTGAGAGCAATGGGGTAAGTTGAGACAATGGTTAGATGAGCAATGGGTGACACAGGTGGTCTTAAGAAGTGCGTGTCGGGCTTCCCTGGTGGCGCAGTGGTTAAGAATCCACCTGCCGATGCAGGGGACACGGGTTCGAGCCCTGGTCCGGGAAGATCCCACATGCCGCGGAGCAACGAAGCCCGTACACCACAACTACTGAGCCTGCGTGCCACAACTACTGAGCCCACGGGCACAACTACTGGAGCCTGGGCTCTGCAACAAGAGAGGCCACCGCAATGAGAAGCCCACACACCGCAACAAAGAGTAGCCCCTGCTCGCAGCAACTAGAGAGAGCTCATGCACAGCAATGAAGACCCAAAATGCACCCCCCCAAAAAAGAAGTGCGTATCATTTTAAGGGATTCGTGTATCTCTCACGGGAGGGCCACCCACTGTCTTCTTTCTTTATTTCCCTAACTCCAGGTGTCGGTAAGATCCTGGCTTCATAGATGGTCAAAAAGGAATCAGACTTAAATGGCAAAGTCTGCACATCTCTTAAGCAACGACAAGAACAAGTAGCCGTTATCCCACAGAACAAATGACTCTTTTCTGCTCAGGATGATTTTTTTTTTAAGAGTTCGAAGTCAATTTGACTCTTTCCTCTTAAACATTATTCTGTTCTTTGTGGCTAGATGTACCTCTTTTTAAAAACTGTATTGCAGTTTACTATTCCTTAATCCAGGCTAGATATAGTTTCTAAAGTAAGCACGCATGACTCAGTGTTGGAACCTTTCCAGATGTAGCAATGAAAAACGTCCCCTGTGATCTTGGTTGGGTTAATAAACAAACCCATCCCAGAAAGGAAAAAGAATTCTGTGTCTTTCCTGTAAAGAGCCAGAAAAAGACAGTGTTGGGACAGGCACTGTAATTTTTTCCTATTTTTATCAGTACTCCTTAACCCTAATCCAGAAATTACCCTCAGTCACCTAAGTAAGATTAGATGTTATACTGACTTGGTCAAACAGACACTGAAGAAGAGAGATGGAATGCAGGTGGAAAAGTTACTTGCCCTGTTCTCATTACCTAAAACCTATGCCCCTTTTAAAGAAGACTAGAAAATGAATAAATTACTAGCCACAAACTAGCCCTGTGAAATCAGGCACTAAGATGGTTCTTATGTACAGAGAAATTCGGTTGCTACATTCAAAGTGGCCGTGTCATGCCCTTTGGTTCCTTCTGTTCAGTCTTTCTCAGCTATTTGTCTAGACTCAACCCCACATCCAGAGCTCACTGGTCTTGGCTCTTCATTACCTGGGTGTATGAGGACCGTGTGTGCACAACAGGAAGACGCTCACTGCCCCCAGGTATAAAGCAGTGCCCGCCCGCATCATGTGCGTGTTGTGCGCAAGGATCTGGCCTCTTCCTTCTCTTACACCCAAAGTGCTTTTTTTTTTTTTTTAAAAAAAATTTATTTATTTATTTTCGGGGGGCTGCATTGGGTCTTTGTTGCTGCGCGTGGGCTTTCTCTAGTTGCGGCGAGCGGGGGCTACTCTTCATTGCGGTGCGCGGGCTTCTCATTGCGGTGGCTTCTCTTGTTGCAGAGCACGGGCTCTAGGCACATGGGCTTCAGTAGTTGTCACACGTGGGCTCAGTAGTTGCAGCTCGCGGGCTCTAGGTGCGCGGGCTTCAGTAGTTGTGGCGTGTGGGCTCTAGAGCACAGGCTCAGTAGTTGTGGTGCACGGGCTTAGTTGCTCCGTGGCATGTCGGATCTTTCTGGACCAGGGCTCGAACCCGCGTCCCCTGCACTGGCAGGCGGATTCTTAACCACTGCGCCACCACGGAAGCCCCACGCAAACTGCTTTTCACCATGCAGGGCAACAAGCACCTGTTATTGGTTTGTTTTCTGTCTCCTACCTCTACCTACAGGGTGTGCACATACAAGGTAAAGACAGGCCAGGCCTGTTGTCAACTCTCATCCTCAGTGTGCTTCTGGCCCAGGTGCTCGGACCACCCCTTCCCATGTGTTCACATCTTCCCTTGGCTCTCTAACCCCTCCTGTTTCAGACCCTCTGCCCACCATCCTGCCTGCCCCCGGCCAATCATTTTCGATGCTGATGTTCTGTGGTGTCACCCTCCACTCTCTTCTTTCTCTGTAGTAAGAATCCCAGTGTCGGGGGCGGGGGTACGGGTGGCCAGGTGAGATCCCACTTCCCCATGAAGCAGGTCAAACGTCCTGGGTAGATGGGCAGGGACTAAAAGAACTGGGGGTGTGGGGGAAATTTCATTCAAAATTACAACTTGTTGGGCTTCGCTGGTGGCGCAGTGGTTGAGAATCCACCTGCCGATGCAGGGGACATGGGTTTGAGCCCGGGTCCGGTAAAGTCCCACATGCCGCGGACCAACGAAGCCTGTGCACCACAACTACTGAGCCCGTGTGTCACAGCTACTGTAGCCCACGTGTCTCAGAGCCCGTGCTCCACAAGAGAAGCCACCACAATGAGAAGCCCGCATGCCGCAGCTAGAGAAAAGCCCGCGCGCAGCAACGAGGACCCAATGCAGCCAAAAATAAATAAATTTATTAAAAAAACAAAATTACAACCTGTTTTGGGCAAATGAAGAAACCACCTATTGACCTTAGTCAATAAACATGCTAATTCCCTGACAGCTCTTCAACAATTCCTGTTCCCCCTCGTGCCACAGGCTGCTACAGCTGCTCATCTGTCACAGCTTCTTGAGGAGAAAAAATACACTACATGAGAGCTACTTATTCTGGGTCTGAATCCACGAAGTCCTGGACGTGGCAGTTGCTGAGGTCAGCAGGGATTCCCAAATGGCCTGTGCTCATCTGACTGGACCTTCCCAGGCAAGTTTCTCCCAGGGCGTCTGCTGGAACTCACTCGTCTGGTTTCTCTCTCCATTGTTCACCACTCTCTCTCCATATCCTCTGGCACTCCTCTTCCTCTTTTTTTTTTTTTTTTTTTGTGGTACGCGGGCCTCTCACTGCCATGGCCTCTTCCGTTGCGGAGCACAGGCTCCGGACGCGCAGGCTCAGCGGCCATGGCTCACGGGCCCAGCCGCTCTGCGGCATGTGGGATCTTCCCAGACCGGCGCACAAACCTGCGTCGCCTGCATCGGCAGGCGGACTCTCAACCACTGCGCCACCAGGGAAGCCCGAGCTGGAAATTCTTTTAAATTCACCAACTATTCTTTGAGATGCAGACACCCCTTGGGAGAGTCATTAGAAAGCTGTTTATCGAGTCAATACGTAGCCTAGGGCTGTCTCAGTGAGAAGGGGTATAACGGCAGGAAAAGGGAGCAAGGAAGCAAATTCTCTCCATCTTGCCTGTTCTCAGAAACCTGCAAGACTATCCTTTCCTTTCAGTCTCCCTCCTCTTGGACACAGCTGTGCAAACACATATTGAAGAGCTGCTGTGTGCAAGGTCCTGTACTAGGTTCTGGGGATACACCAGAGACTAAGATTAGGTCTCTGCGTCTGGTATTTCATTTTGACTTTATGCCGAGAGTAGCACGCAACTATGTAATGTCTGTTTGAAAGGTCAATTGTAAGCAGAGAGATATCAGGCAAAAGGCTGGCTGGATGTTAGGATTTAACAGGTATTTGTAAAATGATAAAATTTCAGGTGAACGACATATTCTGCGTAACAGTCACTGCTCCCTTGGAGGACCTGGAGGCAAGGTAATCTCCAAGGCTTCTTTCCAGATCCGTAAAGCTAAAAACATAATAGTCCGATTTATTTATTATGATGACCAGAAGATCAGGATAGTCCAAAGCATTCGGTGAGAAGAGGTCCTATAGGACATTTCCCCCAATAAAAAAAATTCACTCTTGGGTTCTATATATAAGAACACAGGTCACGTTCAAGTAGCTATGAAAGAGGTGACCTAATTCCACAGACTTTCACATCTGTCTTCTTGTCCCACTCTGCCACTAACCTGGTTGGGTAAGTCACTCAACATTTATTTGGGCTTTACTTTCTCATCAGGATAATGGAGAGCTTGGACTACAGGTTACTAACCTGCCCTTTGAGTTCTCTAAAATCTGTGGATTTCACTTTGCTGGGGCTTCCATTAGGCACGGATTTGGGTACAAAGCTGAGGTGAGCTTGACTCTCTCATGATATCTGATGAAACGTTAGTGCTTCATTATATCTCAAACCTATACCTAGTGACAATTTTAATTTTTTTAGAATTTTTAAAATACGTTTTTATAAATAATGTATCTGAAGATTTTGACCCACTATATAAAGTAAGAATCTCACTCTTTAAGAAAAATATACAGATTTTGATGAAGAATTTAAATTCTGAGAGGCTCAGGCCTTCAGATTTCTACCGCTCCAATTCCAAAGGACCAGTGGATAGCAATTTTAGTACAACATAATTAGTTTTTTCCTGGGTCAGTCAGCTTTATTCCCTTCTGTGCTCCTTGATGGGTACTGGAATCTGGTTTCCAGATTTTTGGATTTCCTTTAATAGGAAACTTCACAATCCGGTAGACTGTGGTATACCTAACTGACAGTTATATCTAAGTGTACTTAGACTCTTACTTTTTTCTTTTAATATTTAGTGTCTACATTTGATCCTGAAAGAGCTTCTATAGTCCTATCAGAATTGTAAGAAGCTAAGAATTAAATAATTCTTCCCAGCAAGGGTTGTGTCACCCAGTTATTTCGTAAACCTGTTCAGTGGAGTCCTATTTCACAGAGCTGCCTTTTGGGTTTTTACTTTCCATGGCTTAATTCCAGTTCTCATTATGTCCCATCTATAGTTCTTTAAATCTATTACTATAACCCAATCCACTAGAATCCTGCAAGCTAAAATAACAGTATTATACATTTTTTTAATTGACAAAATACATTTTATAGGAATTTACAATGTAAAATCATTGTTGAACCAAAGCCAGTGGTGAAGTCCCCTGGGAGGGAGACTCAAATTAGAAGACAACTCGAATCTTAATCGCAATTTTCTTCTCTTTTTCCTTTTTTCCTTCCTCCCGCTCTCCCTCCTTTCTCTCTCCCTTCTCCTTCTTCCCTCCCTCCCTCCCTCTGCTCTCTCCCAATTTCCTTGTTTCTTTCTTTTTAGTTACAAACTGAATTGCAAAACATAAGACTCTAAGCGGTACTAGAATCAACAATAATTTTGCATGTGTATTAATTTTATATGCGTGTCACATATTTTCTGGGAAAGAAGAAAGTAGAGCATTAAGGTATTTGTGAATCAGTCTGGCCCTCTGAGGAGCTCTGTTTACCCCTTACCTGTAGGACATGCGGGCTTATCACCTGCTTTATCTCTGCTGTGCTGACACTTCAACCTCTGTTCTACTCTGTAACTTGGCTCCATTGTTCCCTTAGGCCATTAACTGATAACATTTTTAGCCTTATTTTTCTGAAAATTATTTTTTGAGAAATTAATCTAAGTGTTTTTTTTACCTGTACTAATTTCTCATAATGGATCAGAGAGAAGAGAAGGAGAAAGCAAAGATAAAAGAAAAGAGGAAGGAGGAGGAAAAGAGACTGCCTTTGGCACTCTTCTCCTAAATATTCCACTCAACTTTTATAATTTAGGATTAAAATTACATTTTCCCATGTTACAAACTCATTCTTCTTTTCTTAAGAAAAATCGGCAGCATATATTGCTTATTATTTTTATTTGCTTTTAAAAGCCGCTGATATTCTTAGCACCTGGGATACCTCAAGAACTTACTAGTTCGTATGTAGAGAGATTCACAACATGCTGTGGTTTCACAGAAATAAACATTCGCCTCCGTCCATAAGGGCTTAATGAAACAGGAAGCAAACAGCCTACAGTGGCAAAGCCCTGGCGAGACTAAAGTTGTAGGGATCTTTTTAGAATTTCACTTTCAAAATGATTTGTTGCAGGATTTGGAGTAAAATAGAAATGCTAGTTCATGCAGCAGAGAATGATACAAATATGTGATAAAGGGCTACTGTGGCTTCCTAGACCTCATGAGAGCAAAACTTAGGGACATTAGCCGATAGTAATATTAATAGGAGTCAATTAAGTATATATTATAACCCTGGAAATATCTTCATCTTCAATCATAGATTTTTAGTATTTATCATCTACGGACAAAGCAATAGCCCTGTATACTCTGCTTTGCTCAGACTATACCTCGAACATGGTGTTCGGCTCTGGCCACCTCAGCGTGAGATGGATACAGACACGATGAAATGTACATAGGAGATTGACCATGATGGTATGGGAACAGGGGAAGGAAGTGCCAAGAGCACGCCCAGAGGAAGAAACACTGAGAAGAAATACGAAAAGCATTTTTTAATATCAGAAGCATTGTTACATGAATGAGGCAGATTTTGTTGTCAATAGTGCCAAAGAGATCAGAGCCTGGATCACTGAGTTAAAGCCTGAATCGGTGACAAGGATGCTCCCTAAAATGAAGAATTTTTAAAGTCAGAGTTGTTCACATGGAATAGGCAGCCTGGGAATTAGGCAATTCCCATCATGGAGGCATTTGGGCACAGGATCTCGTAACAGAGGTAATTCCAGCACTGGGTGACGGTTGTTCAGACTGAGTGACCTTTAACCAACTCCCTTTCAACATTAAACGCTACAACATTATGAAGTCAAGAGCCCTTTTCTTCCATAAAGCAAGGGCTGAGTTTAAAGAAAGATGGATAAAATGAGAATGAAAATTTGCTTATTCATTTCAAATTCCCAAGCTGAGATCAATCTAAAGGAAATGATGGTCATTTCCAGTTAAACAGCTAAATGAAATATCTTCAAATGAAGAGATTCAAAATTTCTTCTTTTTGGAAATGAGTTATCCACATGTATAAGGTTGTTACATGGTCCATTCAAACTTGGCCTCTCATCAATGCAGCTATTTGGGGATATCCTGTTAGACACTAGCAAATTTTTAGGTCTGTGACTGTCATATTATATCTCATAATAATTTCATTTGACACCATATTTTGTGAGTGTATGCATCTTTGTGAGACCATCACTTTCCTTTTATCTTCTGCACAGGTGAAATTACTCTGAAAATGTTGCATAAGAAAGCAGCGAAATATAATATGACAGTAAGGCATGTTACTCGTAGAGTCCTAACGATGATGCAAATATTATCCACTGGGGGATAAACAGAGGTAAACATATAGTTGATGGTTTACAGAAAAAGAAAGAAAAATGATGAGTAGAAGCCTTTCATATTTATCAAAACAACATTTACAAACAATGAGACAGGTACTTTCAGGTCCCGAAATGACCAACAAGACATTAGCTCTCCTAGGCGGGCAATCCCTGGCTACACGCACTTACACTTGGCAGTCATTGGAACTGAAAAAGCTAAAGTGACTTTGGATCAGGTAGGTTTTCCCACTATTTAGGTTTCCAACGAAATCTGGACAAATCAAAGAAGGAACCGGTAATTACAAGAGAGACAACCCAGAGGCAGAGAAAGACTAGCTGCACTAAGACTGACCCCAGAGAAAAGTACAACATGAGAGACGGAAAATGGAGAAGCAATCAGAACACTGGGAGAGTCAAATGACGCAGAAAAGAAACATAAATATAATATAAATGCTACTCTAAGTAAATATTTCATTACTGCAGTAAAAAGGCCAAAAATTTGCCATCTTCGTCATATTTATTTACTGTCAAAATGCTAGTTTTCCAAAGAACAATAAGGATGTCATTCATTAATATAACTCCATAACATGACCTGGTCATACGCACTGATTTTTAAGTAAGGCAGAAAACTAGTAGTTTCTTTTAAGCACATGAAGAATAGTGACAGTCATCTATAATTTGTCTCTTTCATGAAATCGATATTGAAAACTTACATTTTGAAAGCAGTTTTGTTCGGGTTGAGGTTTCATTATGAGTTCAAGTTCAAAAGCAACTTTCACTGCAAAGCTTAGAGTACATCTTAGAATGGGCATTTGATCCCTTCCCTTATAAACCCTCTCTTATTAAAAAAAATATTTTAGATATGAATATTAATCAGATTTTA